TCCCGGAGGGGATCGACCTGGTCTACTGGGACTACTACCACACCTCGGTCGAATCCTACTCGGCGAGGATAAGGAGCCACGTCGAGTTGGGAGGCAAGCCTCCTTGGATGGCAAGCGGCTCTTGGACCTGGTCTCGCTTCTGGACCTCTTTGCCCTTCACATTCCTGACTTGTAGGGCCAACTTGAACGCCTCAAAGTCCTCGTCTTTTTCTTCTTCCTCCTCCTCCACCTCCAGACCAGGAGAGCTGGAAGGCGGTCACGGGGGCGACGGTGTCAAGCACGTCTTCCTTACCATTTGGGGTGACGAAGGCAACGAGGTCGACCTCTGGTCCTCGCTACCTGCCTGGCTCTACTACGCCGAGCACTGCTACACGGAATCGACCGAGGTGGATGTGACCAGTCTGAAGGCCAAGTTCGACTCTGTGGTCGGTGCCGACTTTGACGACTTTGTCATGGCCTCCAGGTTGGACGATCCCTCGCCCGAGATGCACCAGGACCAACCATCGGCGGCTTCAGCATCGGAGGAGAAGGAGGAAGGGATCCGATTCTCGGCCAACACGTCAAAGTGGCTCCTCTGGTCGGATCCCATGTTCTCCTTCGTCGAGCCATCGCTGAATCTGAGAGGAGGGTTGGATTGGGAGGCGCACTACGCTTGGTTGGAAGAGTACTTTGATCAGAGGTTGGGAGGCGGGTCGGTGCAAAGGTCTGGGTTTGAAGAGGGGGAGGAGGAGGGGCATGACTTCAACCGATACGGGTCGAACCTTGGTGAGGGCGTCGCTGGGGATGGTGAGGATCCCGAGAGGGTCTTCCACTCCCCTTCACCGAGAGAGGCGACTGCAGAATACCCTTCGCCAAGCACCACCATTCGAGACCACCCTTTCAACGCCAGGTTGAAACTTCCGCTCCTCCTCGCCAAGACGCTGAGACTCAAAGTCGGCCTTAGGCAGAAGCTCCACGAGGCCTACGTCCACCGGGACTGGAACCGACTGGCCAATCTGACGGAAAGGATGGAGGAATGCAAACGATCCGTGGAACAACTTTGGAACTACCACAGGCAGATGTGGGAGAATCTTTACAAGGTGAAAGTCTTGGTCCCCCCAAACCTCTCTCCTTTCCCGCCGAGAAAGAAAACCGATTCTCCCCTTCCATTTTTATGCTTTTTTGTTTTTTTTTTCCCTCGTCATTCGGTTGCAACTTTGCTGACAAGCTATTTGGGCGGATGCTTTCTCTCTCTCTCTCTCTCTCTCTCTCTCTCTCTCTCTCTCTCTCACACGCACCAACGCTCTATCACTCTCACTCTCACTCACTCTTTTGAATGAATGGGGCTCGGAAAATTGGAAACAGCCCAACGGATGGGAGACTTTGGAACTCCGGTACGGAGGTCTGATCAAAAGGATGGAGACGGTCGTGGATAGGTTGAAATCCTTCCTCCGTCACATCGAGAAGGGTGGTCAGGTCGGTCAACCTCTGACCAACCCAACCTTTCCCATCCAAGATCCCAACCCTCGCCAGCAACGTCTTCCAGCGGAGGAAGACGAAATCCTCAGAGATCTCCAAGTCTTCCAACTAGGAGATCAAACCGTCGAAGAGGAGGGGGACCCCGATCCAAACAGAGACTTCAGCGTCCTACTGTGCAAGAGGGAGGAGAATCCTACTCGGACGGATTGGAAGTTGGAGGTGGATAGGATTCAGGAACTCGAGGAGCCACTCCTCATCGTTTACGGTAGTCCGGATCAACTCTTGGATTATCACAGGGTTTCGAGACCCACCTACTGTTGAAATCCTTCCAACCCCTCCCGGCGCCCTTCCACTTCTCCGGCTACATTTCTCTGACTTCAGAGGGATCGGGAAAGACCCAGTGGATCACGAACCTCGGGGGTGGGGGGGAGGTCAGTAGATCGGATCATCACGATGAAGGGGGAATGGGGGAGGGGGAGCGGAGGTTTGGGGATGTAATGTACAATCGATTTTGTTTTTTGGACAGGAAATAACCCCGACTAGAGATGGTATAGGAGGAAGCGGAGGGGAGAAGGCGGTCGCAAAAGTCGGGCAAGAGAAAACGAAGGGAGTTGTGAAGGGGGAACGAAAGACCAAGCTCGAATCAACAGTGTCCCATCCTGAGCCAAAAGGGGGGGGAGGGGGAAGGAAAGGTAGGTTGATGGTGGACCTAACCCGTACCCCGTCGAGTGTGGCGAGAATAGTGAGGGGAAAAGAAAGAGTAAACCGTACATCAGCCCCCTCGAAAGTACCCATCACAGCGGACTGAGACCGATCCTTTCTAGGATGGCGGGGATGAGGCAGGTGGCCCAGAAGCCGATGTTTGAATAGACGATGACTTTGGTCAGGACTGTTTCCGATGTTAGAACGGAATGGGGGTTTGAATGCGTGCACGTACGTGACACAAGTAGAAGAAGGAAAGGGCTCGGGTCAGTTCTCCTCTCACGAGCGAGAGAAAGGGGGATGGAGAGAGGGAGGGAGAGAGAGAGATGGGCCGGTCTGGCTCCGCCGTTGACAGGGTTGCAAAGGACTCACCATCGGCGTCGTATCTCTTGACGTCATCGCCTGAATCCTTCTTCAACATGGTTCTCGTCGACTGCTCGCTTCTTGTGGCATCGTCCTCGTTCGTACAGGTCAACTCTGTCGTCTTCCCTTCCTCCTCGGACCCTTGCAGCTCGAGCTTGATGCTAGGAGCAGGCAGAGCCGAAGATTGATCCTCGCCCATTTCCCCCCGGGGACCCTTTGGGTTGCTACCGGACTTTCCGTTCGATTTCGCCTCCCCCATTCCCTCTTTGAAGTTGGCTTCCTTCCTGCCAAGGGTGGCCGAGAAGGGGTCTGGTGACGAGGTCCTGCTTGGAGGCTCGCTGTGGAGGAAGAACTTGTTCCCTCCACGAGCCTTGGACGCAGGGACTCCCAAAAGCTGTTCGCTTGGGGTGGTTGGCAAGGCGCCGGCATCCCTTCCCGAGTGGGAGGAGGTGGGCTCGGGCACGACGACGGTCGATGGGAGGTCCAGGACCGAAGGAACGGTCCTCAGGTCATCCAAAGGGATGGTTTCGTAATCGGTGGCGGGTCTGTAGTGCCTTCGAGGCAGGGCGAATCCGACGCTCTTGGAGAAGAATCTGAGGATGGGTGGGAGCAGGATCTTGCACAGCGTCTTGGCGACCACCCTCACGGCAAGGATGAGGCTCACTCCGATGACGACCAGTGTTCCGGCCCTGATCAGGTAGACCAATGTGTTCCTCTCCACCTCGGCTTGGTCTTCCCCTGTCAGAGACTTGAGCGGCGCCTTGAGAGCGTCCAGGAGAGGTTCGATCAGGTCAGCGGCTGTGGACCCTTTCGGCAGGAGCCTCTCCGCCGAGAGAATGATCCTCTCGGTGTTGGAAGCCGAGGTGAAGGGGTTGTCTTCCTTCACCACCATGCTCCTACGTACGCCCAACCACCTGCCGAGGCACACACCCATGGCTACGGCGATGAAGGCGATGGCGTCCTCGAAGCATGGACAATCGTCAAGAGGTTGGGGGTGGACGGAGACCATCAAGAGGCCTACGGGGATCACGACTAGCGGCACTTTCCAGCCTTTGAGCATGAAGTCTTCAATCTGGTCAAAGCACTGCCACTGGACCCAGCTGATCAGAGCGCCAAGCGCCGAGCCGGCCAAGCAATCGACCAGGCTGTGCATCCCGGCATAAACCCTGCCATACACGATGCTCAGCGAGTAGAGGAGTAGCGCCAGCTCCCATAGCCTGGTTTCGAAGATGCTGGCATAAGGCGAGTCGCCCACGATGAGAGCATGTTCTCTGAATCCAAGGACCCAGAGATAGAGGTAGAAGGCGATGCTGACAGCGTTGGTCGAGTGGGTGGAAGGGAAGCCGTACTCGAGGTGGTGGGTCCCGATGGTGAGTCGAGTGACCGGTGGAGCGTAGGGTCTCGGGACGCACAGGAGGTCCTTGATCGCCGATGAGAGGTAGACTCCGAAAGCAAGCACGTTGATCAAGCCCCTTCCGAACCTTGCGTTCCCCATCCAGAAGACCATAGGCAGGAAGATGAGGAAGAAGGAGTGGGTGCCGAGGAGCGACGTGTAGACGAAGTATCTGTCCATCCAGGGCCTCCTGACCAGGGTCTGGTGCTTTGCCAGCAGAGGGCTTTCGAAACGCAGGCTCTTTACCAGAAGGCGCCTGATCCACGCCACGGGCCGTGGGAGGTACTGGTCGTAGAGCTGGTCGCCCTTGATGCCAATGTCACTCGTGTCATGGTGGTCATCATCCTGCTCGACCTGTGCACTGGCTGTGGCAAGGTTGGGGCCAGAACGTCGATCTCGGCTAGAGACGGATCCAATAGACTGGCTGGCGGCTTGTTGAGATTTTTTGTCCTTGAAGGAGGGGTACTCTATAGGTGACGAGTTTGTGGAGAAGGAGGAGGAAGAGGCGGCGGAGACATCGGTGATGGTGGTGGTAGGGATCGGCCTCCCTCCAACTTTCTCATCTTCCACACTGGAATTGGATGCCTCCCTGGTGGGATGGTTCCTCCTCCTCTGATAAGGCCAAGAGGAAGGGGATAGAGTGGCCATGAGGTTGGTAGGGCTCGGTCGGATTGAGAGATGTATGCGCGTTATGTGCCCTTACGTGTGTATCCGGGCTGGTCTCTCAAGCGAGCGCCTGCTTGAGAAGGGAGAAAGAGGATGAAGGAGCGAGGTCTGGTAGAGAGCGGATGTCTTTAGCCATTCAGGGAGCTGAGGTGGGCATGTCGTTGTTGTCGTTTGATGGAGTGATGGGTGTACGGTGAGCTTGGGTTTGGCTCAAGGTGTTGTTGTTACTGGGTGTCGCCCCCCAGATCGAAATCTTGATGCCGAGTTCCGTCCTTCTTAGACTTGTTACAAGTGTTTCATTACAGCTTTTCCTCACCGATCGTGGGGATCAAAAAAAAAAAAAAAAAAAAAGGACACGGAGAATCACTCGATGATTAATTCTGTATATTATTACTCTTCAGTTTTGGTAACGTAATCAGCACTGATAGTTCAGTGGTAGAATACCTGCCTTCCATTCCATTCGGAAGCGATAGCATGTGGCACGGGTTCGATTCCCGTTCAGTGCACTTTTTTTATATCCTCCCCCGGACGCTTCTTCCACATTTCTTTTTTTAACCCTTTTCCAAACGTTTGAATATATTAAATTTCAACAGCCATCTCTCGGCATCAGGGTGAGAGCTATGCAGATATCAACGATTTGAGTTAGGCTCGAGCTATTCGCCCAGGGTTCTACCACTTTGGGGGGTCAAACCCGTTGGGCCTCGGAGGGACGTCGAAGTACATGGACCTGTCACTGAATCGGCAGACTGGCCTCAGATGTGTGACCGTGCCACCCCAAGGTTCCGACTTGGTCTGCATCCAGACGTCCTCCCTAGCCTTCAGATCGGGTCGATTCTCAAACATCTTGGGGATCAGGGTAGAGAGCGTCTTCCTCATCTCGTCCGAGTGCTTGAATTGGAAGCGTTCATAATCAGACCAGAGCTGAACCCAGACCTCCTCAGGGTACATGCCGAGCGAGGCTAACCAGACGTTGTAGTAAGAGAGGCTGACGTTGACCAAGTAAGTTCCACCCTAGACGTGGGTGTTGCGTGACAAGCGCGTACGCATTGACAGAGAGTAACCCGTATTCGTCATGAGAAGATCTTGTCAACAAAAAGAGCTCATCAAATCAACTCGACCTTTCGTGCAAATCTCGTCAGGCTTACCTCTTGGGCTCGACGCTGCAAAGCGTGTAAGACACCCGTGGCACCTATGGTGCCGACGCTTTGAAAAAGGTTCAGGGGACCGATGAAGGAATATGTAGAAAGAAGGTTTAGCTTTTCTCTTCGAGACCGGGAACCCGCAGCCAATGTGTCAGTCCGGCTCACCAGAAATCAGAGTTGGGGAAGACTGGAACAACAGGTTCATTGACGCCCATCCTCTGGCCAAAGCCCCATGAGATTCCGACAAAGCAATCCGAGATCTGTTGCCATCCCGAGCGGTGCTTCCAAGGGCCGTGCCAGCCAAAGCAGTTCTCCCTGAGCACAACGTACCCTTTCCCCCGCTTGGCGCCCATTTCCTCAAAGTCCTTTGGGCCAAAGCCAAGCTTTTCGATGGCGCCCGGGCGATAGCCGTCCAAGAAGACGTCGGCATCGTCCAAGAGCTTTCTGAGCGCCAGCTTGCCTTCCTCGGTCTTCAAGTCGAGGTTGGCCTGAAGCTTTCCAAGCCCGAGATCCACGAGCAAGGCCCCGTAGTCGGGAAGCCTGTCGCAGGTGATCCTTATGACCTGGGCTCCATACTCGGCCAGCTTCCTTCCGATAGCCGGCGCTGCGATGACCCTGGTCAATTCGACGACCTTGAGCCCCTCCAAAGGTCTGAACGAGTCCTTCGAATTGCTTCTTGGCCAAGGGACCGGTTGGCCGGGGCCTAGCTTTGAGAGCTCGTAAATGGGACAATCTTTGATTGCCTTGCCGGCCTCGGACTCGAGGAACTCCTGGTGGGTGAAGCAGATGGTACCGGCTTGCTTGGCGTCCATGGCGGCCAGTCGGTCTAGCTCTTCGGCATCAAACTTTGCGACAGCGTCAGCATACACTTTCTTGATCTTGTCTGGATCCTTCTCGTCGCTAAAGTGAGGCACACCGACGACGTCCTGGGAAGGGCTGGCGTCCATGCTCCCATGGAGGTGATAGTAGCGGTCGTCCTTTGTCCTGTAGATGTTGGTGCAGAGGTGGCGGTACAGGTTCAAGATGGAGTCGGCGAGGTCGTACTTTCTGGCGGCGACAAGGTTGTCTGGGTGCATGACCGGTTTGCCCTTGATCTGGGAGATAAAGACCGAGATGATGAAGAGGGAGGCGTGGTCGGTGTCTATGGTGACCGTCTCAAGCTGTTTGGATGGGTCCTCGACTTGGCCATAACGCTCCTCCTTCAAGGCCAGAGCAAAAGCGGCTTCTAGGCCATGAAGTGCCGAAACTGCTTCGCCAAACTGCCAGGAGATCGCTGGTTTCAGTGAGCATCGGGAGGAAGGTAAAGAGACAGAGACAGAGACAGAGACGCTTGTGTCAGTGGCTGGAATGAGGAGGGGTTTGCTTGGCAAGGCCCACTCGGATGCTCACGAATAAAAGGCTTGTCACTTCCCACGTACTTGACCCTCTCGAGCGCGCGATGTTTGATGGTCTCTGGTAAGGAGAGCCTCTGATCCTGACAGAGCTTGACGAGGTATTCCCTCGCCTTTGCAGGAACCGACCAAGAGGCGCTTTGAACTGGCATTTCGATTGGGGTGGGATGAAGGGAGGGCGAGGTAGCCTTGGGGTTGAAAGAGAGAGTGAGAGGCACGGTTTCAGGATTCAATGTGGTTCGGTGACCAAGAGGCCCGTCTTCTTTCAAGCTCTCGCAGATGGAAACGAGAGCCAATCCACTCGAATGAGGCGAGGTGGGGAGGAGGGGCGTAATGGAAGTAGATGGATGGATTCGTCAGGGCTACCCGGATGGTTGGAAAGCACGAAGAGGGGACGCTCTCGGAAGGAAGGGGGGATCTTAACTCCTTGGGCGAAGCGGGGGAAGGTGGAAAAGCAAAAA